GGCTAACACTAAACTAAATTTCAAATAGTTTTAAGAAGTCATCGCAAAAAGATCTTAGTTTTGGATCTTTCAAATACCATGAAAGAACTATTGCTACCCAATTGTACCCTGCATGGACGATAAAACATCAAGTCCCTTTATCCAATTACACTTAGTCAAAGTAGGTAGTTCAAATAAAATACCTTTTTTTTGCATTATTTGAGTTTAAATAAGTCAGTTAATCTTTTTATCCCAACAATTTCTGACTCTTCCAGACTTGGCCCACTTTTAGCTTAGTCCACGGGCCAAGTCGTTGGATTGAATTTCTAAACATTTTTTTTTCCAACAACTGCCACCTATTTTATTAGTAAATTAAACACCAAATCGACACAAATCTACTCTACAATCTTAGAGTGGGCCCCAGTTGCTGAAAGATTTTTTTTAAATTAAATCCAGCGACTTGGCCCGTAAACCAAGCTAAAAGTGGGCCAATTCACTGGAAGACTCCAATTTCTCAGTTCAAACTTCAATATAAAATCCCCATACAAATCTAACTCCAGATCTTGAATGGAATCTGTATTAACAAACGTAAAACCCCCACCCTTAATACAGTCAAAGTGAAAGGTGTGAGCTACGTATGAATCCCGAGAATTTTTTAAAGGATTGGACCAAGAAATTGCAAGAATATTTTTGCTGGAGTAACTCTAGATAGGGTTGTAACAGCTCATACCGTTACTCGGTACTATTTTCGCGATAATATCGATATTAGCAAATTTATTTAGAATTTGCAAGAATATTTTTCAACTAAAAATGTGTGGAATATTTGGAACTGCCTTGCTGTCATTATTATTTTTTTAAATTGAAAAAAGTCCATGAAGTAAATGATAGTAGATATCGCATTAAGGTGTGGGTGAAAACTAGCTTGTACCAACGCATCTTGAAATTAAAAAATATTTTTGTTTCAGCTGCAATTCTACATTGAATTGACAGCTTCTATTTATTCGATATTTAGTAAGCACTTTATCAACACTCAGGACGCAATATTATCGAATCAAACTATCGATACTTCAATGGCACGGTCCCATCCCTAACCCCAGTTAAACCTTTCAATTGAGTTCGAACATTAGATTTTATTAAAGTTGGTTCAGATTACACTCCGCTTCCGTCTCGTTTTATCGCCGTACGTACGAGCAGGACGGCTGGTCTAATCACATTGGATATTCTGGACAAGTTGTTCTCTTTTTATTCTGACTCAGTCTAGGTCGATAGCTAATCCTAGGCTATAGCCTATATCTATATATATCTATATATATCTATATATATATATATATATCTATAGATAATTCATGGGCAACTTCTAGCCTTTGGCATGTACGAAAATGTACGGTGTATTCGTGTATCAGAAATGAACGAGGATATGCACCAATATAGTCAACGCTTTGAGCTTTTAGGGGATGGTAGAATCGTATTCACCTAGTCAATGCTTCGACCTTTCAGGTGATGGTGGAATCGTAGCAGCCTTTGTACTTTATTGGTATCGTTCGTTTCAACGAAATGACGTCCACTGCTGGACAAAGGCTAAGACTTTTCATAACGACCGGTCCTGCGCTGGCCGCATCCAGATTCTTTTTGCGACCTTCACCAGATCGTCGGTCCACCTAGTAGGAGGCCTGCCCACGCTACGTCTTTAAGCCCGTAGTTGTCGAAAACTTCGAGCCGTCTCAAAGAGCTATGTGCCCCGCCCACTGCCAGTTGATTTTATAAATTAAAGAAAAAAGCGTAAGACAAGGTTATATCATAATTTAGGACCCATACGTGAGTACTACCTTCAGTACATATTATCAATATTACGAACTACTGCTCTACATAGGCCTCCCCCAATGATTTCCAGATTGCCGGTTGGTAGCGGCCTGCATCCAGCAACGCCTTCCTGCTACCTCCATGAGGTCGTCTGTCTACTTCGTGAGTGGATCTGCTAAGCTTCTTCTTCTTATTCGTTACGATCTTGGCAGAGTGGTCGTGGTCACGTTAAGCTTATACTTGTCTTAATTTCTACGCTAGAGGCTTTGCAAATTAAATTAAAAATATTCTATACTAAATTCCTATAAAAAAAATTTACTGTGATTAAGCACCCGTTATACACTCTTGAATGTGGTAGTAAAAATAACTATTAGCGCTCTTATCTATCCAATTACTTATAAGTAATTTTAACCACATAATTACTGACTCCTTAATAACTCAAGTGGTTTTAGTAAGAATCTGCTAGAATGAAATTTTAGTTGAGAGATCTATAAAAATCCCAATAATGGTGATTTGCTTGATTCTTTCATACTTACTCTTAATTGGCAATTATGATCAACTTACCGATGTAAATGACCATTTTTTTTGTATGTGGTGAACATACAGAATCCATGAAATGCCTACCTAATACTTACTGTGTGAATGAGTTTGATCCGGTGTTTTTTCTCTGGTCTAGTGATGTTGGGGCTCGAAAGATTGAAAAAAAAAGAGAACTGATTTAGCACTTAATCTGACTCTTGTTCTTTAACTTAAATTAATAAAATATGTAGATTACTCTTAACCCATTAAAAATCTACTGCGTCTCGAATTTGTCATAAGTTTTGTAATAATATTCATTATTACTTATTACTTACCTCTTTTACTGGATAGAAAATTATCCTATCGCAGTGTGATAACCGCCTAAATGTATGACGGATTGTACAGCGCCCCTAGCGGAAACGTCTAAAAACTAAATGTCAACTAGTGAGAACGTTTTATGTAAACTCACACTCAGCCCTAAGGTTAAGTACTTTGTAAAAGCATAACCACCTCATGGAAATTAAAGATAAAAATAATCAATGAAACAACGTAGTACATAGGCCAAAGTTTCGTTTTATTTAGAAAAGTATTTTGTACAATTTAACTAATTTACATTTCAGGTTGCATACGAATCGCACCGCTATCTCTCACACCACAAACCTTTTTTTCCAACTAAATCTAAATTCACAATTTTAAAAGCTTTACATAATATTTATATTATACATTATTAACAATTTCAATAGTAGCAATTAATATTTACAAAAACACTTTAATCTATGTATCACAGAAAAAATAATTATATACCTAGCATTAATAATTTTTTTACATTAAGAGATAGTTCTTACACATCTCTACACAGAAACGCGTGTGCGTAAAGTATAATGATATTGAAATGTATAAGCAGTCGTATTTTTATACTAATGAATATAACTCGAAATCTTTCATTCGTTTCTATGAAATTAATAACAAAAATCAAGAAACCAATATTGATATGGTTTATTCTTAATTGACATGAAGAGCTAGATAAAAAATATACAGCCAGTTTCTTAAGCCTTGGTCGGCTGACGTGACTGTGACGCGACGCGAGAGCGACGTGATAGCTACGCGAGAGCAACGTAACATCGCAGTCAACAGACGATAATTTAAGGAAACCGTACGTCAAAACACGTGTCGTCACGGTCGCATCGATAAACCAAAGGATTTTAGAAAGTAGAGAAAGATTTCGCGTTTTTTTTTTATCTAAAAAGACGGACGATGAATTTCTAAGCGACTACATTTCGTAGTTAATTAGACTAAACTAATTTTAGTAGTTACAGAATACCAAAACAGCAAAAGATCGATAAAGTGAAACAAATGGATAGTGTGGTTTTAAAATTGAATTAAAAAGTCATTATCACCAAATCCCATGAATAATAAAAGCATTTAGGAATTTAATTATAAAAAAATATTAAACTGTTACATATTATTTATTAAATTTTAAGCGAAGATTATTATGTAACAGTGTAAGTAAATGCGGGGTTATTGTGTTTTTAACCTTTAACAGGCAAGTACAATTTTTTCATTGTCACCACATACCTAAATGAAGTTCCAAAATAAGCAGTAGGTACTTTACATGGTACAATATGCCCAAGGCATTGATATTGTACTGGTACTGTGAACTACCTTGTAAAGGGTTAACGGCACGACAATGCCACGTGTTCCAAATGATCAATACAATCAAGGTTCGGGCCCTTTAATATTGAAACAGTGATTCTATTATTAGAGACCACGTTTGTTTATTGACTTTTAAGCCCACTGATATAGGACTGTTTTTCAATCCATTAATATTAGTACTGAATATTTAATGGATTAAAAAATAGTCCTATTGACATACTCTTGTGATGAAAGTAATTTTTTTTTTCACATTAATTTCAAGCTAAACTTACAGTTCATTTATCAATAAAAGATTGCCTTAATGTGTCGCAATTGTATTACGTTTTCTCTTTGGGTTTTGCGTGGGTTACACTGTAATTTTTTGGTTCTTTTCTCATGTGGGTTGTTTTAACTGAGTCACAGTTCAGCTAGATACGCTTTATTTGCCACCAAAGGTGTGCCAAAGGCGTCTGACATTTTTTTTACATGGCCCAAATGACAACCGGGCAACATGGAAAGCATTGGGGGAGGCCTATGTTCAGCAATGGACGTCTTATGGCTGAGATGATGATGTTTTAAATTGGAATTGGATCTAAAACCTTTGAGACAATTTTAAAACCACACAATTGAAATCCGAATCCAAACTCATGAGTAGGTTAGTCTAATCAGTCTTAGATCGAAATTTTTACTTTTTTCATTTAAAGTTTGAGCATACATTACAAGCTGTAAATAGAAATTTATTTTTACCTAAATAAAAATCTGATAATTTTTAAAATAATTTTCGAATTGCACTAACAGTAACTAAATGGAAGATCAGTGCTATGAATAATAAAAGTTTTTAGTAATAATAATATAATGAAGATATATCTAATTTTTATTATATTAAATGTAGACAGATATGTTTGAGACATGAAAATGGCACATTTCGTAAATTAAAGCTTATTGTGTATTCTACAAGGGGTTGTAATATTATTTATATTATTATTATTTTCGATGGGAATTTAGTTCACAACAAATAAAAAAATAAACCGAATAAAATTTATTTACCCGATAGATAATAATGTTTATCAAACGAAAAATCACTTATACTTTTTGTGCTGGATGATATTTTTCGCAAGGAATACTATTTTTTTCATTTCGTCTTAAATGATGAAATAAAAATCTTAAAAATATATTAAAAACACAAACTAGATAATTACAGTGACTATGTTTTGCAAGTAAGCATCTTGCAATTTCTTCAATATAGAAAATTAAGTTTTTAACCGGTAAAAATAGTGTTCCATCAATGTCCAATTAAGTTTACTAGCCAAAGGAAGAGGGTAGTTTAGTTTATTCATAAATAACGAAGTGCACTCGATATTTTCATAAAATTTCACTTTAAAAATATTCCTGTGCCAAAAAAGTTTTATTACGGGATTTAAGAGGTTAATAATTTGAGTAAAGTTACTATTTTATTTAATTGCTGTTGTTTCGAGCAGGAGCTTTTGAGGACCTTGAACTAGCACTCTAAAAAAATGGCACGACGATAAATAGAACATACAAAAAAAAAACATACAGACGAATTGAAAACATCTTTTCTTTTTTTGATGTCTAGTAAAAAGAGTAAGCACACTTTTTTTCTCTCAAAAAGTCTTAAAAATAAAGAGAAAAACGAGATGATGACTAAGAGACATTACATTATTTGTCTCAAAATCAAGGAAATTCTTAAATGAGAGTTTTAAATATATTAAGATGATTTTAATCATTATCGCTTATAAATATGTTTTTATTTACACGAAAACTTCAACAAGTCAGTCAAAGTATTGAAAATTGACGAAATTCATTGCGTTACACAAAATATTCGTATTGTGGATAGAATTGACATAAAAGAGGCTATCAAATTACATTTCATACCCATTAAATATCTTATTACCTACTATGAAGTCGTGTACAGTCAGCAAACAATAACGTATATTCTAAATAATCATATTTTTATACACTGTATAACATTTTAGTCATACCACAGAAAGTCGCTTATTAGGCCAAATGAGTTACCTAGTTGATCACCGATTTTAAAAATTTGACTACCTATTTTTTCGTTTAGGAGACCTATTTAAATTCTATTTCTTTTCATAATTCCAAAGGAAAAAGGATTATCTGTTTCCAAAACAATATCATTAACACATGCAAATGGATATTGATAGAATCATAAGAAAGTAGCTTTATTAACAATGTATTATAGTCACCAAAATTACGTTTTAGGCTCATTTTTACGGCCGACTGTACTCACTTCCCTATAACCAGTCAAAATGTCAAGTTCATTTTCCAACGAAACAAAATCGGGCGTTTCTTTTACACGCAACATTTTACCTTGAAGATAATATTATGTAGGAATCAATCAGTTGTATAAATAGCTAATACGGACAATCCAAACCCTACAATTCATTTACTTACTAAGCAATACTAATACATTAGCAACAGTCATTTACATTCAAGTTATAAAATATTTTTTTGTAAAATGCTTAAAAAAGTGAAAAAAAAAATAGTTTGTGACAAAAACTCTAATAAAAATGTTTAAAAACATGCAAAAAAAAACACGCAAACAGTAAAACATGTTTTTCTAAATCAACATTTTAGTGTTAAATTTTTATAAAGAGATCTTTCAAGGCTCCAGATTTTTTTTACAAGCATAAAAAATCTTTTCTAAACCAACTATTATTTTGACTAACTACGAAAACATCTAAGCTTTTGGTTTAAAAATCCAGTAACATTTTTTTTATAGAAAATGAACACCCCTCTTTCCGAATCCTATGTCAATCAGGCGTCCTTAAACTATTTTTTAATTTACACAAACACTTAAAAGTTTTATGTTAAATTCTTTTTAACGCGTTGTCAAAGTCCTGTGCAATGTCAAACGTTGGTTATACGTGTGTGGCCAATGGTTGGGGATGGCCATTACCTGAAAATCATGTGTCACATTAGTGTCAGTGGATAAATCGGTGAAACCCTGAATGTCAATTTTGACAATTAGTTTACACGAACGAATTTCAACATAGGCTGGGCGTCGAATTTGTATAATTTGATTCGCATTTATAAAGCTTCAATAAAAATGGATTTGACATCAAAACATTTACATAAAAGGAATTTGATTGTCAGGTTTTCACATAAATTATAAGACTCTTATATTGTTTTTCACTGCTTTTCGTATCATAATGTTGTTTATTTTACAAATTACAATATTTTTCGTTTGTTATAGAGACTTCAAACAATATTTTTAGAAGCTGTCGATATTCTATAAATCATGGAATATTATCAGCCCACAGTTTTAAAAAAATAAAATTTTTTTAGGTAGTGAACTAAAAATCTGTGGCAAACCACAATTAGGCAGAATTAACTATAATTAATTTTAAATTTGTAAAGTAAAACAGTGCAAATCTTAAGCCATTGAAGTATTATAGAATAAGAATTGTATTCATTCGGTTCGTACGAGCGATCATATTTTATTGAGGCTAACAGAAAATAATTTAACTTTGGTTAAAAATAATTAATCCGAATTTGTTAAACTTGCCTATTCTTTAACCCTTCCAATGCCATGCCAATTTTGACAGCCATATTTTTGAAAAAAAAAAGAGTATTTATTTTTCTTTTTAAAAGAATTTTAAAGTAAACTTACCTTTTTTAGTAATAGTCGCATTCGTGATAGTCCTATTCGAAGGCGCTAGTATGTAGTGTGCGCTAGGCGACTGCGGCGTACCAGAAGTCGTGGCCACCTGTATGAAAATATTAAAAATAATTGAATGACTTAAATAGTGAAAAACCAGTAATATGAAGATAAAAAGATTTTTTTAAATAATAATGTTTTATTTGCAGATCTTCTAGCTCTATTAGTTTAGATCGATGACGATGATGGTATGATTTTTTAAACATCATAAACTGCATTATTTGGATTCTCTACTACGTAAAGGGAACTTTTTTTAAAGGGCTTTAGAGGGGACGTGGTTCTAATAGATTTTATTTGAAAACAAATGAAACGTAAGTAAATAAATTTTTTTGAAATGTTTTTTCCACAATTATTTAAATGGTTTTTATGTACAGTTGTTGCAGCTTTACATGTGTAGTAGCTCGCTACTGTTCGTTTTTCTAAAGTTAGACATTAAATCGTTATGTGCATGTACACACACACACACAAGTAAAGCTCACTCGCCTTCGTGAGTTGCAAGAACTTATTGTAATTCCATCATTTTAGCCAATGCAGTAAGCGACTGGGTGTGCCAGGTGACGTGGCCATCTGTGAAAAGTTTTGTTATTAGCCATTCCATTAGCAACCCTAATGATAATGAATGAGGTTCGTTTACCCTACGCGAGTTTATGTCGGATTTCCACTGATCAGAAAATAACGCCCGTATTCACATACAGTACTATGAGGTCTCACAGTGCGCGTGGACGCACAGGGTCACACACGAACCAATCACAGAGCTCTATTTTGCTTCACTTAAGCAAGTGTCGTTTGTGAATACGAGTGTAAGTGGAAAACCATGTTACGGATTTTTTTTACCCAGGAAAATGGCCTATCCATACCTACCGCCGGGGGACGGCAGGTTATGTGGGGCTGGAACCCACTAAAAACTTGGGGTGTTCCCTCTGCCGCATAGTGGTCGGCGCCTTGGGTACTAGAAACGGCCACAGCCACAGCACAGAATAAGTAATAGTACCACAGTTAACACGGGTTAAGGACTTGTTCCTATAGATACATCCCGTTTTGTGTAGGATCCCGTTTAGTGACATTACAGTCCAGTTTTGCGGGAAACTGGATTGCCGTGAGAAAGGGCCCTAATTAATTAATGAGGTGCGTTTACTCTACGCGAGTTTATTCGCAATTTCCACTGATCAGAAAATAAGTGATTTTCCATGTTATGGTTTTACAGTAACACAGGTTAACAATTTAAGAGAACAGAATAAATTAAACTTGCATATATTTTTTATTAAAACTTGTTTATTTAAACTCTTCATTTCAGTGGAAGAGAGTTAAATTTTGAGTTTTTTTTTTACTGTTCTCACTTAAAAAAATGTTTGAAAATTCCTACCTAAATTATTTTGTGTGCATTGTTACGAGTATATTGTACCGTTTCAAATAAACGTTGATTCAGTCAATTATTCATAAATTCCGATGAATCAGTCCACAAAAATGGAATTTTGTGGAACTCACTTGGAATTTCGGTTACGCTTTGTATATTTTTATTTTTTGAAATATTTGGGGATTTCTGAAACGGCCTTGGATTTTTTTTACGTTTTTTTTTACTGTTGATAGCATTAAACATTTTTGTAAAAAAAACTCTATTTATTTACAAGTTCCTAAGAGGCCACAGAGCTCTTTATATGCCGTCGTCTGTACATTTGACATTGATTTTATCCTAAATATAAAAAAAAATTAAAACATGATACATAGTTATTTATTTTACTACTATGTTACCATTACGTATCTTTCCGTATATCAAATGGCGACCACGGGCCGGAAGACGTAGAATGGGCACGCCGCACTAGGTGGACCGACGACCTGGTGAAGGTGGGAAGTACCTGGATGCGGGCGGCGCAGGACCGGTCTTTGTGGAAATCCTTGGGGAAGGCCTTTGTCCAGCAGTGGACGTCATTTGGCTGAACAAACGAACGATATCTTATTCTTAATTAACGAACCTTAATTTCGAACTCCTCCTATGTTCTTCTGATTAATTTCGTTACGGGTCCAATGACAGTTTAACTTTCCCCCGGGACAAACTTGACCTTCATTGGTTGGGTTTTTGTGGCGGTCAAGCTGTAGATCCTGGCTACACAGGAGTTGCAGTGGTGGGAACGAGAGGTGGGAATAGTCCCGAACGATATCTTACCGTTACCGCCGCTTGTGTGCTGTCAGTCGACATTGTGGACGTCGTGATCGGGCTCGTCGTACACTGAGGCGATGCCAACGACGTCGGCGACGTTATTGAATGCGACGAGTTGCCTGTGGAAGATTGTTGATATTATTCCACTGCTAAATTGTGCCTAATGGACGGACGATCTACAGAGAGATGAAGTAAAGTACATCAAGTTTTGAAGTCAAAGATGGCCGAATAATGAAGAAGTTGGACTGGGTGACTTGATTTTGGAGGAGTGCGGGTTCGATTATGATGAACCCACTCGTGACGCAAGCATATTTAGCTTAGTACCTACTGTTAGTACGAGGGGTTAACGGAACTATTTTTTTTATGCAGAATAAGGCAGGTAGCAGGAAGGCGCTGGACGCAGGCCGCTACCAACCGGGCAACATGGAAAGCATTGGGGGAGGCGTATGTTCAGCAGTGGACGTTCTATGGCTGAGATGATGATGATGATGATGAAGGCTGGTATTTGACCGCAATCGCACTTGATGCAGTCGATCGATGCAGTCTAGGATATACATTATGTGTTATGTAGGATAGGATTTATCTTTGTTAAAAAAATCTACAAACTGCTTAACTATGTATTAACTACTGAATGGGAAAGACTGGTTACTTTAAGATTGCCACAGATTTAAAAGAGCCTTGCATTTACCACAACTTTTTTATGTGCTCGAAATTTGTACACGTAGCAATCGTTTCTAACCGATTAAAAACTGTCGTTTGTATAAAATGATGCCCAGAAGAGGAGTTGAGCAATATATCTTAGGTAGATTATAAATGGAATCAGTGTGCTTACCATTAGTTTACGTTTCGTGTGCTCACTAGTGACTGCATAAAAAATTACATTAAATGTATGACAGATTGGTAGCAGGTAGGCGCTGGATGCAGGCCGCTACCAACCGTGCGATGTGGAAGTCATTGGGGGAGGCCTATGTTCAGCAGTGGACGTCCAATGGCTGAGATGATGATGATGATTACAGATTGTACAACGCCCTTAGCGGAACAACAAGAACTAAAATCTTCATAGATTTTTTGGCGTACTCGCTAGCGAGCACACCTAACGTAAACTCATGGTAAGCACAATGAATAAAATGCTATCTTTATTTTATGTTACATTGTCAAGAACTCAAGTATAATAAAAATATAAATTCCATTGTTCTAGAATTGGACGCTAAAGGTTAACAAACGAATTAACTCAATAATTAAATTAATTAACAATATCGGTTTACTTTCACGTGATAACCTCCACAAAGTGGCAAAGCTAAATCTAATCTGGTACAGTATTCACGTCTAATCCAGATTGGAGCTGTTATCTGCATCACAATGGAGTTACGAGTAGAAGACTCTCTTCTCACTAACTATAGTCTGGTCGCAATATAATTACGCGCGAGCGATAAAGATGGGTAGCTTGGGGTCATTGAATAAAATTCTACGTGCTTCGGAGACCGGGCTATGTAAACGTTTTTTTGTGTTGTGTGTTTATTAATAAGTGGGTAAGTAACAGATTATTAGTAATTTGTTATTGCACACAGGTGATCTGTGTTATTGCACAAATTACTAATAGTCCCGATAGCCCCTCGTACTAAGCTAAATAAATGCATGTGTCACGAGTGAGCTCACCACAATAGTCGAGCGGCGGCGGGGACCGAAACCGCGTCCCCGGATCACGAGTCGGCCAGTCCGACCCTTTCACCGTTCGGCTATCGTGGCTTATTCTTAGTTTATAATGGAATGGTACTTCTTCACTTATTACTTTTATACGATTTTTTTGACATAGCTGCTTCGAGTAGACTTAAAAAACACTTCAAATTTAACCCTAGCCGCAGACCACAGACTTTTTGTCGGCCGATAGTTGGGTCAGGCTGTTAATCAGTATGGGCATGTATGGGAGTGCGCACATTACGCCGATTTGATTTGGCCGATTCTTCATACAATTTACAAATCGGGCACAATTATCGGCCGACTAAAAGTCTGTAGTTTGCGGGTGGTCTTATGGCGCTTTTAAGCTGTATAATGGAAAGTACTATATTGTCATAGGTAGTTATCAAAATTATTTCAAATAATAACATGCGCACGATCATAAAGAAATAAAAAAGCGAAATACCAGTCACTGATTAATCACGAAATCTCTGAATCTATAACACCTACAACCTTGAAATTTGGCAGGAAGGTTCCTTATAGGGTGTAGACATCAGCTAAGAACGGATTTTGTGAAACTCTACCCCTAAGGGGGTAAAACGGGGTTCACGCGCGCGAAGTCGCAGGCGGCCCTTAGTAAAGGGATAAATTAATATAATATAACTCAAAGGTGACTGACTGACTGACTGACATAGTGATCTATCAACGCACAGCCCAAACCAATGGACAGATCGGGCTGACATTGAAATGCAGGTAGATGTTATGACGTAGGCATCCGCTAAGAAAGGATTTTACGAAACTCCACCCCTAAGGGGGTAAAACGGGATCCACGCGTACGAAGTCGTGGGCGGCCGCTAGTATCAAATAGAGTGTAGTGAGCCCACTGTATTCACTTTCATTAGAAGTTAGATTAGAAAAGTAATTAGCGTTTGTGAAATTAGATGCTCGGTTCAGTGGCCTATCCACGTTGCAGATAAAAATAAGCAAACCCACAAAAAGTAATTTCAAAAGTGATATTATTATAATTAAGTTTTATACTTATTTTCGTAACTGAAATGTTTTTTTTTTAAACCTGTTAAGTTCAAAATAACTGAATTTTTAAGCCTTAATCCTCAATACAACGATTATGACTTAAAAAGGTAAGACCATGACATTGAGCCCTATTTCAGATGAGAGAAAACAAACAAAAAAAATCATTGAAAAATAGACAAATTTTAATGTTCTTGTAAAAGACATCAACAGCTGGCTCAATTGAGTTATTTTAAATAACTATACTTACTAACTACTGATGACTATAAACCTCTCTCAAAACGCGTAATTTTATACTGTCTTCGGCTTGTCATACAGATTCTGTTAGTTTCTTTTCGCAATTTATTCATCATACCACTAGTTGGAGCCGTTGGAGGGGCATCTTACACTACGCTCAAAAAATTAACAAAATAATCTTATTAAGGAATTACTTACCTGAAGGTAACACCACAGACGTCCTAACGGATGAATACGGAGGGGGAGCCGGGGTAGACGCAGGTTTCGCGGTGTTAACAGTGTTCGCGAAGCCCATGCCTCCTCCCGTTCTCAAGTGGGGGTTGCCGTACGTGGCTGCGTATCGCACGTCCACCCCGTGGATTATCCCACCGTTGGGCATCCGATTCACTAGAAAGAAGGTTTTAGTTTTATTGTCTGGAAATTGAGGAATCATCCTTCTAACAAGCTGTTTGTATTAATAAATTGTGGTCTGTATGATTTGATGCATAGATCTAAGTTACATTATGTGCAAAGGGTCATCATTAAGTGATCAGAGGAAACTTGTAAAAGTGATACTTAGAACTTAGTCTTGTATTTTATGCACACCTCCAGTAACCAGTATTGTAACGTAGTACTCAAAATTAAATATTGGAATGTTACACTACAAAATTATCGTCATTTAGTGAGAATTTTTTGTAACGTAATGCTCAAAATTTATTGTAAAGTGTGTCCAATGATATTACAACAAGCAAATTACTACAATCATTATTTTGTGAACAGTATTATAACGAGATGCCCAAAATGGATTGTAACTTATTGCTCAAAATGAATTGTAACATAATGCTCAAGAAGGATTTTAACTTATCGCTCAAGATGGATTTTAACTTATTGTTCAAAACGAATAATTATAACTTAATGCTTAAAATTGACTGTATCATGTGACCAATCCTACTTACCATCACCAGAAGGTAGCCCAAGGTTGTTTAGCGCGTTGCTACTATCCTGCCGCTTGGTGCGCTGCAAGGAGTTGTTCTGAGACCCGTTTCCAGGGTTGAACTGGACGGTGGATGACGTGTCTACACTTCTTGGCAGGCTGCCGTTTACTGACCTGTTGGGGTTGGAAGTTATTAGCATTTGGATTTTAAAAGATGCATCTCAATAGTTATTCAACTTCAGTCGTCCGGCAAAAGATCGTGGATTCAATTCAAAGAAATGAATCTGAATGGGATTTATTCCCATGAGTTTCAATCACAAACTGAGGCAACAGATTTTTTTAAGATAAAATATGGGATTAATCTATGTATGTATCAAAGATTTAAGATAATAAAGAAAATAAAAAAAATAAAAATATGTATGAAAGAAAGGATAGAATCAAACTATGCAACAATTGTATCATTGAAATAAGGAACTTTAATTTTTTTTTAATGTTAAGTGTGGTAAAATTACTCAACTAAAGGATGATGGGCATATTGGGCGTTAAACCAACAGAAACAAAAAGTATACCAAATTAAAGCTTAATACTAGTACTTCATTTCATAGTATGACAACAATCCTGAAATACGCGGGGATACGGAGATGGAGGTCGTTGAATATGCAAAGTTTCCATAGTATTTCACATCACATTAGGGTAATAAAAATAGTATTAGGTCAATTAGATTGCTTTTATCGACCATATTGAGAGTATTGTATCATATCTTACTATCGATTCTATCGATTTAGTAAGTATGTATACCGAATAAATCATAATCGATTATTCGATTGCAATAATCGATTATATTGCTGAAAATAAGGAATTGAATTAACAATCAAATGATAGTAATGATGGTAATCAATAAAATCGATTAATCGAATTGTAATCGATAAATCGTTATTTGGCAATATCGATTAATAATCGATCAGTGATCGATTATGCCACAACACTACAACTTAACTGGTAGAAATCCCATTGAAACATGACTGTGTTCATGTCATTTCTCTAAATGGTACCTAGGTATGGTCCTACGCTTATAATGTAGAACATAGTTTAAATATACTATTTGTTGGCCCCACTCCTGAACTGTTGGACATAATAATGGATAAATAACTTAATGTATTTAAAATGTAAGTAGATAAGTATATTAATTAATAGTATTTTTTGTTTGCGCAATAAAGCACCTAATACTATTATTACACATTATGTCAATTTCCAAGCAAACCCGGGAGTTTTTGGTAGTTATTTATATGAAAATATATTTCTAATATTAAGTCCTAACAAATAGTAGTAGTTACATTTCTGTTGGTTTTACGCCCAGATTCCATAGAAAAGTGCCCATCATCCTTTTATTAAGTATTTATTGGCTCGGACTGTTTTTTGAGATGAACATTTACAACACAATTTAATGAACAAACAAGAATGTTATAATTTAATATCATCTATCGCTCACCTATTTGGCGTCAGTTTGTCACTGCCAATCGTAGGCGACTGTACCCTCAAAGATCCGGGGGTATAGTCGTGCCCATAATGCACGTACGTCTGGTAACCATTACCGAAACCGTTGACCTATTGAGGAAAAAACATCATTAGAACCAGTTAGAACCAGATAATTTGAATTTCCTTAGATACAATACATTTTTATAAGATCACGTCATTGTAGTCTTGCCATAATAATCTAGTAATGTTTCCATATAAAATTGACAATAGCAGAATTTCTAAGAAAAGTTACTTATTGCAAATTTTTAAGGTTTCAGTATCCATAGGGAAAAACCTTAAATCAATTTAAGGAATATTAATTGATAATTTTTATATGGCACTCAACTGAGCTTTATTAAACAAAAGCTCATCACAAACAACTTGATTCGTATGAGAAATAGTAATGGTCCCAAAATCCCACCTTGTAGCAGTCCGCGTACGCCGGGTCATTGTAATCGTTACTGTATCTGTATGGCTGGTAGGTGCTGTTTTGATTGATCGACGACAGTTGAACCGCACCCGCTAACGCTACGCCACTGCCAAGTTTGGCGTTTGAACATAGCGTGCTGTCCGAGCCGGTGTTTGAGTAGTCCTAGAAAGAAGGAGATGTTTTAATATTGATTATAGAAAAAAAATTTTAAAAATAGGACGTTTAAAATCTGAATGATCATTTTTCTATGGTTAATGGACCGATGTCCAGCGTCAGGTTAAGAATGACAGATAACAATTTCAAGGTTAAACGTCAGATTAGAGAGTCTTTCAGACTGGCCAGGTCCAGTTACAGGAAGAAAAACTATTTAGGGCCGATTTTTCAGTCGTCGGATAACTTTTAACTGAAGAATAAGTTTGGCACATTGATAGTTTCAGTAATNAGTTTTATTGAGTTTTTTTATTGTTGAACTAAAATATCTACAAGGTCCCAAATCCAAAGCTAACTGGAAATCCCTCTAAAATACTCATCACCCGATCTCAAATTTAAATACTTTGTGTAACCTGAGAGCGATAATTTCGAAGCTGCCGTGAAAATGTTTTCTTTGAAACAGAAAAAGTAAAATGAGACCTTAATGACCGTTTAAAAATACCCAGTCGAATAACAATGGAGGCAAATTATACAGGAGTTTGGAGGGAAACTGTAGTTTACATCTCAAAAGAACTACGAGTAAAATGGTTGAATTCAGACAAATAAAGAATTGATATTTAGTTCGTTTCAAGTAATGGACTCCCATTGCTGGAGAAAGGCCTCCTCAAGGATTTTTACAACGATTGGACATGCACTGCGTGTATCTAAGTGACCTTCACTAGATCGTCAGTCCACCAAGTGAATTTTAGTATCACTTTATTAAGTCTTATAAACAATTTTTCACGCCTCCCCATTATAACAACGTATTGCTCAAAGGAAAAGAGTTATATGAAGCATATTATCAACAATATTTAATTTTAATAATTAACTTTTCAATATGTTAGAGATTGTTGCCGAAATTGTTAAAGTTATTTTTGGAATTCTAATCGTAGACGCGCGTTATTTTGAGGATCGAGTTATAATACTGAAAAGATTATTTTCATCAAAGATATTTAGAACTTGTTATGATAAGCTTGTTGAATTTTAATCACAACCAGGCTTAAAAAACCCATAAACATTTGTTAACCTTTTAAACCTAAGCACTAGTGTCCGACCGAATGTTCGGTTTCGGTTTCGTTTTCGGTTGAGTTTCGGTAAAAACACGAGTTTCGGTTTAGTTTCGTTTTCGGCGGCAAACTTNCATACATGAAAAGCGAGACTAGTGAAAGAGACCGAAGTATGCGTTGCTCTGCCTTTACTAAGAGATAGGTCACTTTATCTATACAGGGATATAGAGCATGCTTTATAAGGTCAGTTTATGGTGAAATCGAGAGAAACAGGAATTTTGAGTTAAGTCACTTTCATTCTAAGGGTGCGATATCATATCACAGGAATAGGGCATTCACACACTCAGTCAACAGAGTTGTGCGAAATTAAGGTCAGGTCATTAAACGGTGATTATAATACTCGCTGTAAATGTATAGTTTTGAAACATATAACTTCAAATTTACCAACAGTTCCATTACATTATAACTCTTTAGACATTCCGAATAATANATATTATATTAGATTGATTTGTGTTGACCCGTGCTAGTAATTGGACTGTTTGATTGCCTTTTTATTGACCTCCGCTCGATTACTGAACCATGCCTCTCAAAATAATTCTTATATTTACTTACAAACTTATCTATACATTGTTAACTGTTTAAGTATTATTTAGTTTGAAGTTTAATTGTTATTGATTTAAGACCTTGTGTAATGACACTTAATGTGCAATAAAAAATTGAATTTGAAATAAAACTAACTTAACCTTCGGAAGGCAACAGGGGTGACTGGTCACCCCACCAGTTCTAAAAAGTCTTGATACGATTAGTTGCTGATGTTGTGTCTTTCTGTCGTTTGGTCTATTCTCTAATTGGAGGGAAAGCTAGCAGTCGCATTCGTCAACATATAGCGTTAGGTTCCTGTTTTTGATATTTTGACACTGCTGGGGTGACTCATCACCCCTGTTGCCTTTTACGTATACTTTATTTTTTCGTGTTGCTAAAGTAAATGATTGGTTTTGGAGTAAAAATGACTTGTCATTGTTTTCGGATGGTCAAATCGAAAAATACATTTATAGACTTGCTGATGTCAATTCCTATGACAAACGCTGCTCAGATGATAATAAGATTTCCAAAATTGAAGATAATATCTCGGTTCAGTCGGAGGAGGAAGACTTTATTTCCATTAGCGAGAGATTGTTACGACGATGAAGTTCTACTAGCACAATCGAACATAACGTGCTACTATGTAAGAACGGACATGTTTGGTCTTCTTGGTTCCATCACCTTGGAGTCAAACATCACGACGAAATATAGTAACTGTTGCGAGAGATACGAGAATTATAGAGCAATTACACATGACATTCTAAATATGAACTAGGGACCTCCTGAGGGTGCACCTTTAGCAAAGTNGTATTAAAAATTTCCCTACTTTCGGGAAAATCGCCTTCACTGTTTACACTCCCCAACAAAACTGACACTAATGACATAAGATTTTTGCCTCACTCTTGACGAAGCGTTTGTATGAAAACTATCCATCTAGGTTTTATTAATCTAAGCTTTTAGAGTAAAAAGGCACTTTATAAGTTCAATTTTAATGCAATTTAAAGAGAAAACGATAAAGACTGACTGATTATAATAACGTTTTCTTTATTTTTCCCTCAAAATATGAGCCTTGTAAGGAAGTTTCGGTTTCGGTTTCGGTTTCGGCCGAAATAGACACCGTTGCCGAAATTCGTTTTCGGTTTCGGTTTCGGTCGTAAAACTAGTTTCGGTCGGACACTACTAAGCACTACCGATTAGAAGCAGTACCGATAGATCATCATGAGAGACGACAATGAACTTAATTCCTTACTAGATAGGAGAATTATAGAAGAGGATCCAATAGGGTATAATAACAAATTAACGTCCGTATTCACAAACGATGTTTGCTTAAGTGAAGCAGCAAATCAAACGCACAGCGTTGAATAGAGCTCTGAGATTGGTTCTTGTGTTGCCCTGCGTGGATGCGCACTGTGAGACCTCATAGTAATGTTTGTGAATACAGGCGTAAGGTCTTCATAAAAAGTTTCATCATCACCGTATTGTGTATTCTGCGTATTTTTATATTTGACAAAAAAAACTGATGATTGTGTTGAATGTATTATTCATATAGCTGTCATGTTAATTTAACTTCATTTAGCAAAGTGAATGAAGAAACTAATGATTTAATTCTAAATACAGTTAAGTGACTTTTTCAAAGAAATACAAACTTAGTCCAAGCTCAGAACTTGGTATTTGAGTTTTCTTAGCCTTAATCAAAATCTAAGGCTTAGAAACAATACTATTAAGGAGTAATTGAATTGAATACGAGTACATTATTTGCCGCAAAGTTTCTTAATCAAATTAAATGTAAAACTAGCCGTCTATTTTCTTTGGTATTCAAACTAATTTGTTAATATCATTTACTTAGACTTAAATCTCTAGAATTTTGTTTCAACTGATTCTGTTTTATTAGAATACTAGCTGACCCGGCGAACTTTGTTCCGCCTTAATGGCAATAAATAAGCAGACTTTTTTTTAATTTCGAACGGGATAAAAAGTATCCTATGTCCTTCTCCTGGCTCTAAACTACCTCCCTGTCAATTTTCAGCTAAATCGGTTCAGCCGTTCTTGAGTTATAAGTGGAGTAACTAACACGACTTTCTTTTATATATGTATATAGATTTCGTTCAATATTGAAGTTATTTAAATTATGCTACTTTTGGTTTATGCTTTAGGTCAAATAATAACAATAATATCACATGAAATGGGCGGAATCGAAAATATAGTTTAATCTTGATAGATGACTGTTTGAAGTCTGTTTTAAGGTATAGTTTTCAGTAGATTTATAAAAATTAGATCACAATGCAAAAACGGAGTAGATATAAAAAACGTAAAAGAACACTTCGCCAAATCAGTCATTTATAGACACTGTTAAAGTAGATATCAATAGGCTTACGCCTGTATTCTTAAACCTTACTATGAGGTCTCACAGAGGTCGTGGACGCACAAGGTGACACACGAACCAATCACAAAGCTGCTTCATTTAAGCAAGCATCGTTTGTGAATACGGGCGTTAGTCACAATGCAAAAGAACTGATAACCAAAGAGGTAGACATGTTGGATGGGGAGCGTAAGTCGGCAACAGTGTAGGGCGCTTCAGCAAAGAGGGGCGATAACCCAAGTGGCTGGCAGTTTGGAGAGAACAGACGAGGGTGGCTTCGGCTTGGAAATGGAACATCAATTTTTGAAATTCGAAATTTGACTAAAATTGTATTTAACGATAACGATTTATTGTAAGTTTACGACACTTTATGAGGAAATGAAGGGGAGGAAAATCAAATCAACAATGAATTTATCCCTTTAGTTATAAAAGTTACAACCTAGTTGAACTCTGGCTTAAGTTGTCATTAAGTACGGAAAGTCATTTTAATCCAGTGTTCTAGGTGTATTTTTTTTTATTAATAGGGGGGTTCTTGTATAATATTTTATGTAATTAATGTGAGGACTAATAGAGAAAAAAGTTTTTAAAAATTCCCTTACATGTCTCATGCTCCAGTAAATATCAAAATTCGAACTTCTCTATCCGTCTTATTAAATTCGTTGCACGTTTTTAGTCAGTCAGCTATCCCCCGGGACTACTCAACCTTCACTGGATGGAATTCATTGAAAATGAAACGATAGTGTTTAGGGTGGATTGTTTTATCCACAAAGACGCGCCCCACCATTCTTCCGCTAATGTTTGAGTGTTATCGGTGCACGCTAAATCATCCATGAGTGCACACGCACACTACAATGATGACGCTCGGATTGCTCGGATCAAACTCCCCGCGCCCTGAGCTTCCCTCGACCAAAAATTGGTGGGGTGCGTCTTCGTGGATGAAACCATCATACTGGATCAGGATTTACCAACCCCTTTTTCTGGATATACAGGATTTATTTATTTATTTATTTATTTAATTAACATGCAAGTGAGCTTACAGATTTACCTTTAGCAACAATTTTCTGTAAAATCCTTACGGTCCGTTTAGCCTTCAACTAGTACTTATTATTCTGTGCTTCAATCAAGTTTTAAATCTCATGAAACAATAGGGATATGCAATGTATTATTTATTTCTCACATTTCAGTAGCCTATCAAATCAATCAGTGCCTTTCTTTAACAAAAATTTCAAAAGATACCTAAATATACAAACGTCAGAGATCTCATGACGTCATTGGTCATATTAGAACGACATGTAGAGTCTCATACAAGTTACTATGGGCGGGTGATATTTGACGTCACGCTCAGCTATTTCCATACAAAGTTTAAACACTTGTAACTTTTTTGTTTCCATCCCGATTTCAATACTGTTTTTCAGAAATTCTATGATTTAACAAAATTATTTAGACATAATTTACAAATTTTTAATATCGATGCACATTCCCCATTGAAGGAATATGTTGAAGATTACTTGAGATATCCGGCTCATTGATTTTTACTCAAGTACTCTTTCAATAACGATACTGAATACGTTATGAAGCAATTCATACTGTTGGCAGTAAAAATGGAAGCGGTGAAACGAGCAATTATTCTAAGAGATGTTATTACTCGTCGCCCATCAATACGAGTACATGATAAGTAACTCGTTTATACATACGGATGATTGACGGAACAGCCTGGGTAAAACAGCCAGCTCAAGTCAAGTATTTTTTTTTATGAAAAGTACTATCAACAAGGTTGACGCATACTATTTAAAAAAATCGTTTGCACGAAATGACCATATTTAATCAGTCCTGCCCACAATTTTGTTTCTTGCCTTATCCATTAGTTAAAATTCTAGTCACGAATAAAATATAAGTTAAGCACAAAAATCTTCAAGTCAGAAAGAAAAGCTGGGTATCTACTAAAGTGAAGATGTTATTTTTCATCAAGTACAGCATCGCCGAACTAAACAATATCATCTGATGTTTTTGTAACAAAATGACTTTTGAGGCTTTTTGGAGCTATCGTTCGTTCGTTCGTTCGTTTCAGCCAAATGACGTCCACTGTTGGACAAAGGCCTCCTCCAAGGTTTTCCACAATGAACGATCCTGCGCTGCCCGCATCCAGGCTCTTCCCGCGACCTTCACCAGATCGTCGGTCCACCTTTTAGGAGGCCTGCCCACGCTACGTCTTCAAGCCCGTGGTCGCCACTCGAGAACTTCAAAAAGCTGTTGTTAATATTATTGTGTATTGGCCGTTTTCTCTTAACTACAACGTACCGTGAAACCAGACATCATATTTAAGTACGAGTATTAATATTGATCGAGTATTTGTATAAATATTAGCATGTCGGTGACGGTAAAGGAAATTAAATTTGTTGCTACGTTATTACATTGAAAGCTGTGACAGAGTGATTGAATGGCGTTGTTTTTTACAGAATTAGATTTCACAAAAATATGTAAGAGAGCAGAAAAATAATTGTCGTGTGTTTTTGTATTCTCAATTTTTAGTATGAATCTATACTAATTTTATAAAGCTGAAGAGTTTGTTTGTTTGTTTACTTGAACGCGCTAATCTCAGGAACTACCTGTCCGATTTGAAAAATTCAGTGTTAGATAGTCCATTTATTGAGGAAGGCTATAAGGCTATAAACCATTACGCTAAGAGTAATAGGTGCAGAGCAAAAATGAAAAATGTTGCGAAAACGGGTTTTCACGCGTACGAAGTCGTGGGCACAGCTAGTATTTAATAAGGGAAACAGAGATGAGCTGTAACAGAGTTGTTAAGGGCACGTTGTTTAGTTCAAGTCTCGAGCTAACAAATGCGCTGTGGCGAGCTCGCTGTTAATAGGTTTCCAAACGTCGACAATGTCACAACTCTCCTCTGTTACAACTTACTTCGATCTCCCCTATCTTACTGAAGATAAGGAAAAATTTATAGAAGTAGATACTTCAGTATCCGTCTGTATATGGATATAGTTTTTAATGAATATGAGGAAGCATCGTAATGAATCAAATATACCTAGGTACTAATGATTTTCTGATGAGAAAACTTGTCAAATGGTAATGGTAGGTACCTATGTTTTAATTGGAGTTCAGAACATACAGTAATTAGTTTCTACGTTCGACTGGAAATTTTCACGTTTTCTTATACCTACTTGAAGTTAACTGACGAAACTATTAAAATATTTAACGTTTTCTTAAACTTGAAGTTAACTGACAAAGTAAGCAAGTCGTTTAACCTACTCTTTCTGTAACATAGATTGTAGGTACACAGGTACATGCTGATAAATACAACTACTTCTTTTTAATAAACTTCACCGCCTCTGTGGTCTAGTGGTAAGACCACCTGTTTCAGACGCAGAGGTCCCGGGTTCGATTCCCAGTGGGGGCAGATTTTTCTATTCGGTTTGGTTGGTGGTAGGGTTTGTTCTAAGTCCGCCTGGCTAGCTATCACCATCTTACCTAAGTCTGTCGCCATAACAACAATGTTACCATTGTTGTGTTCCGGCAGTTAGAGGTAAGATAGCCAGTTCCTCCGTGGTTGAGGATTCCGGGTGAAGCTCGCTTCCACCTTCGGCCTGATCGTCACTTACCATCAGGTGAGATACGGGCCAAGAGCATCCTCGTTGTGGATAAAAAAAAACTTGAACGCGAAGTAGGCCTACCTACATTCGACAACACATCTCATATTTTTGTTGTAAATTCACCCTTATCGCACCTAAATAAGATCAACAATGTTTAGCTAGCTTAAAAATACTACAAAAACAAAAACTTACGATCTCGCAGCTCCCATTGGCTTGCCTCAGCTCCAGTTTCAAGTCGCTTATGTTCGAATTCCTGTCATTCTCCTTGAACAGCTCCTCAGCTGTCACTGTCACGTCTGGCTTCTCTGTCATCTGGGTCTGCTTGCTCTTTCTCTGCTTTCGTTGACAGAGAATCACCAGCATTATCACGGAGGCGACCAGGATCGTCCCTGAGGTCACCCCGAATAAGATTAGCAGGAGCGGGAACGTTTCTGAAACAAAAGAGTTTGATTTGAATATTGCTTTGACGTTTGAGTCTGTAAGTGACTTCTTTTGTTTAGGTTCTTACAATTGGAATAAATAGCTAAGATCAGACCTAATAGGCTAAATCCTTGATTAGCCATTTGGTAAATAGTAGGGGCGAGCTCTGGCATTAGAGAATCAATGACCTGATGATAATGACCAGAACCGCGGTTATTCAAACTGACCAGGGTCCCTAAGCTTGGACTCATATCTCAGACAATAATACAACGTTTTAAAACATACAGGGTGAAAACGATAAGTGATCAAATTCGATTTTTTTAAACTATACAAGATTATCAAAAAACTACATAGTTTCTGATCCTGAAACTGCTTCATGAGCTCTATCAAACGGTATCAATAATAGGTTACAGAATTAACTTGATCTATCGGAAAATTGTATGTTTCCAGCTTCCATACCTACATTTGGTACATGAAGTTACATTGATGCCACATTGTTTCAATAGGTATATGGTGCCAGAATATCTTCGTAAATACTGAGAAAAACTTCCAAATAACTATCTATTGTCAACTAATACGGATTTAGGTAATATGAGGGTCTCTCTAAAAGCAACATAGCTTCACTATATTTAGATTTTGTTTAGTTTTACTAATACTGGAGTGCCTATTTTGGGAACAGAACAACAAAGTTGTTTTTAGTTCGCGTCAGGATATGGCGTAACAAGTTCTAAATTGAGAAGGAGGATTATGTTTAAGCCCTGGTTTATTTAAAAGCTATTTGGTGTTATGATACGAGAGTCTATTTTTGGGATGTGACTTTATGTAACTTATAATAAATTGGAATTAATTGTTTAGTACTTAGTAATAATTGTGTGGGCTTATCGTTCATTAGCTTTTCGCCCCTCATACTTTTAACCCCCACTACCCCCATTTCATTGGGGTGAATTTTGGAAAACTCTTATTCCCTAAGAAACTGATACCCACGTCTTTTAAATTTGCCTAATGAGAAATGGAGATTTTTTAGTCTGATTCTCCAGGATATTTTTACGTCTAAATTTTCAAGATTGAAACAGCGTAAAATAGCAAGAACTATTATTTAATCTGACTTTTTTCTAACTAATAGTGTAATAGTAATAACGTCAAATCATCCACCAACCACAAGTAATGTTAAAACTATTTTTTTTTTCAAATACTACAATCAATTTTGCACTTTATTGTGTTTCTAACAAAGTTCAAAATCCAATGAAGAAATTTTTAGTAGGTTGATCTGCGGTAAAATATTCCCCCACCCCATTATTGAAGGGAAGACGAATGCCTGTACTTATACACAGGGCATAAAGTTAAAGCAGCGATACATTCCGTATAATGCGTGCTCGTTATGTAATACGGGTCCGACGTACTTTGGTATAATAGTGATGGGGTTTATATGAAAAATGCGGTCTCTGAGGTGGACAATATTTTGTGGGAAAGGTTGTCTGTTAAAACCCGGTCTGTGAGCACGTAGAATTTTGTCCAATGACCCCAAGCTACACATCCTTATCGCTTGCGCGTAATTATATTGCTGTCGCGACTGTGCGACGGGCGCCCGCAGTGACTCGACGAGTGCTCACAGACCAGACTATAGATGTAATGAGGGTTTTCGCGATTGAAAAATCCGCCAGGGAGGTCCAAATGCTGCATGATTGGTGGATTTTGACATATCTGTCAATGTCATGTCAAAAATAACCAATCATGCAGCATTTGGACCTCCCGTCTACGTATTGCCATCTGGCGGATTTTTCATTCGCGAAAACTCTCATTGAATTCATTCGTAAGTCTCATTCGTTCGTTCGTTTCAGCCGAATGACGTCCACTGCTGGACAAAAGCCTTCAAGGATTTCCAATAAGACAGGTCCTACGCCGCCCGCATCCAGGCACCTCCCGCGACCTAAGGCACCTCCCGCGACCTTCACCAGTGATCGTCGGTCCACCTAGTGGGAGGCCTTAAATAAATATCAATATTAAAATTTACACGTAAGTAAGTAGGTGAATTTGAATTTGATTACTCGTAAGGGTGGGTATGTTTATGCTCGTAACTACTCATCCATCATACTTATATTCGAGTCTAGCGGGATTCAAATCCCCCGCACTTTATCACGCATGGGTCAGACCAACCATGAACTTGAATAAAATATTTCCAAAAATCTAAATCTATAAAAGCGAAAGGTCACTTACTCACTCATCACGAAATTTCAGAAACTACAAGTGCTAGGAGTCTCAAATTTTGCATGAGGGTTTGTTTTAGAACGTAAGACTACTAAGACGGGATTTTGCTAAATTCAACCCATTAGGTGGCAAAACGGGATCCATATGTACGAAGTCGCGGGCGACCGCTTGTTCACAATATAGGTGTGACTGTAGACTTTTTGAAATACTTGAAAGGATTCATATTTTATCATCCAGTTAGGAAAATACCTACATACTCAAAAATGAGCATTTAAGTATCAAAATATTGGGAGAACAAATATTTCTCGAATTTCTAAATGGCAATAAATTCGATGGGTGCCTGGAATAAAGCCGCAATCGACAAAACACAATTTTACAGGAGAAGAGATNGAATTAATCCTTAGTCATAAAAACAAAACTGTTTATTTTAAACAAGAACATTTACAGCTGGTGAAATAAATTCCGTATAATCGTGAAAGCTTCAGTACTAAACTTAGGTCACCTGAACAATAAAAACTTACGGCGCAAATTAGTCTTACAAATTCCAAATTAATTATTCATGAACTAGGTCGTAAAAGAAACCTAGAAAGAAACGGCGCGAAAGCTGTCTGGGAAGTATCCGACCTTCTTATTTTTTATTAAAGCCTGGGCCGTGAGCACGTAGAATCCCGTCCAATGACTCCAAGCTACCCATCCCTATCGCTCGCGCGTAATTATGTTGCTGTCGCGACTGTGCGACGCAGTGTGTGTGCGAGCGCGACAGCAACATAATTACGCGCGAGCGATAGGGATGGGTAGCTTGGAGTCATTGGACGGGATTCTACGTGCTCACGGACCAGGCTTTAGCTGACCCAGCGAAATTCGTACCACCTAACTTAGGTATATTACCGCCTAACTTAGATACCTTACATTATCATCCATTACCATTTTCTAAATACAGGATGTAATTTTTAACAGATTTTAGTTGGTTCGATTCCCAGATGTGGCAAGCAAATTTTGAAAAATCTTTGAATGCAGTTCTATTTCTTTTTCCTTTAAGTAAAATTTTCTGTCTACTGTATTAAGAGCACTTTTCCTCCAGGCGAAATTACAAAATTCCACCCTGTATAGGTACTATACTGAAGAATGACGTCAAGTTTTTGTCAAGGTTCCAGCTAAAATGCTGTATGAGTATAATGAGAGTAGTATTTTTAAGTAACTACCTAAGTCTTGCCCAGGTCTCAAATGAAACCCTAACACAGGTCGGATAGTTTACGGACAGGTAAAAAAATTCTTTCAGCAAAACCCAAGTAGCTTTGGAAACCAAGACCTATTCCCGTAATGGATGTAGTACAAACTTGACACTGTAGTTCCTGAGTTGTCATGTTTAGTATCACTTCAAGTTGCCTGGATTTCAGTTGATTTATTATTTAGACCCAGGCCAATTGGAGCTCCTTGAAATATCCACCTAAAATCAAGGATGCAAAGTCCAATTTCGGTAGCACACGCAGTCTGACACAGCCACGTAGTTACGTATTAGGAAAACCGACTCAGTTGGTTTGGTCTTAAGAGCTAGAATAGGCAATCAAAGGCGGTTCAAGGAAACAGCAACATCAGGTGACACCTCAGGTACAGATAAATCAAAAGAGACGTTATTTATGGTCATTTAGAGTCAAAATTTAGTGGGAAACTAAAATAAGACATTGGTTGGCGTGAAGTGGGAAGATAATTCTCGTTTGTTATCCTATAATGGGACTTTTGTTTAATTAAGACGATCAATTAAAAAACGTAATTTTGTGGTAAAAAAATATACGTTTAAGGATCATAACGTAAATTACGTAAATCAAATATTTTAAAATAAATATAAGTGACTTAAAAAGCAGGGGGCAGTAAGGTTCTGGAGTGAAGGCCGCGTACCGGAAAACGCAGCGAGTGACGACCACCCACAAGGTGGACCGACGACATTATAAAGAAGGCGCTGGACGCAGGCCGCTACCAACCAGGCAGCATGGAAAGCATTGGGGAAGGCCTATGTTCAGTAGTGGACGTCCTATGGCTGAGATGATGATACTATCTACTTACTGTTAGGCTTCAACACGATCTCCAAAGTGTCACTCCCATACTCATTGGACACGTTGCACTTGTAGACTCCGAAGTGCTTAGACTGGCTTTCTCTGATGATCAGGGTCGAGTTGACAACGCCTCCAGGCTGGAGATCCTCGAGGAATGCATAGTCCTGGACAGAAATAACGATTGAGTGAGAATTTTAGTTTATTTTGATGACGATTCCAAGCTAGGGGGTTTTATTGGAGTGAAATAAAAAATAAATTTTTAAAACTATGAGCCTGTTTTTATATTGTCGTGGTTTATTTCAATTTCAATTGCTTAAGCTTTGCGGTTTGAAACTAAATTGAGCTAAGTATTTAAAATTTCTCAAAACCCACACTACCTTTGAAATGGTCATTGACTGTTACATTGTCTAAAGTAACATAGTATAAAACTACTGTTATATTTTCTTTAAAGTAACATTTTATAAAACAAATGTAACTTGTCGACAACCACAGATTTCTACTAACAACTTTAACTTCGCACAGATTGTATCCAGTTCTTAACTTCTCAAAATAATCTGGACTCTTCTCAAAAAAGCTTACCTGATCATGTATAGCATCAATCTCCTTTCCATCAAAAGTCCACACGATGGTGTCGATCCTGGGGACAGCGAACGCTGCGCACTCGATGTTCACAGTGTCCCCTTGGGACCCATACTGGGTCTGGTTCGACAGGATCTTTGGTGGACCTATGGAAATACAAAGATGTAAAATATCTGCAAAACTACGTAAAATAGTAGGAAAAATAATTACAAAGATGTAAAGTAAAACTAATTAAAATAGTGGGGTGAGAGGTGATGAGTTTATATCACTTCATGGGTAAAATTTTCGAAAACAAAAGACCTGTCGTGTCTATGTCAAAAACTTCCAACTCCTTTTTTACCCCCTTAAGACTAGTGTTGAATTTTTAAAAATCCTTTCATATTAATCTTAACTAAGCTTTTAAAGGCCTTTGTCCAGCAGTGGACGTCATTTAGCTGAAACGAACGAACGAACGAACGAACGAAGCTTTTAAAACAACTTTTAATTTTATTTCAAAAATTTTGCGTTCTAGCATATTAGGGTAGTACCTACACACCAAAGTAATATGCAAAAATTCAATAATGATCATACTCGTACGAGGCAAACATACTCGTATATGTATTCAAAACAAATGAATGACATCGTGTACATTATAATATTATATTCTGTGACAACGCCAACAATTGCTATTTTCAACCTATGACCTATGACTGTGTTAAAGTTCGAATAAAAATATCTGCTATTTTCATAACAATAAAACCAAAAGTTCGAATGAAAGACGAACTCGTTAAAGTCAAATGACCGTGGTTGACATCTAAAGTTGTTGACAGTTGTTTTGATCTAAAAATAGCATACCAAATAATAATTGTAGTTACACATGGGAATTCTCGATTTGAGCACTTTGCATTGTAGACTATTATTTTATCTATAGCACGCTTGATCTGCAAAATTTGAATAATTTTCCAAGTTATGCTGTCACTCCTGACATTCAAAATTACAGTCATTGTGATATTTAAAGGTGCTTGATCACTTGGAGCATTTGCTTGTAATGTAACGTTACAGAGTCGAATATTACACACAGTGATCGAGACCGAAAGCAGTTGTTAGAGAGGTGAGTTTTATAATAACAAAGCCTATTTCTCTGCTCATCTTACATCTATGACAGTTAACAAGCTGTCAATTTCACGCAAACTGTGGAGTGTCGAAAGAGCAACGAATTCACGAAGTTGCTAACTCGATAAAATGTCATTGGTTCAGAGAATTTTGCTGTAACTCTCCTCGGTTTTCCACTACTCATATGTTCTTCTAATTAATTTCGTTGCGGGTCCAATGACAGTTTAACTTTTCCCCGGGACAAACTTGACCTTCACTGGTTGGGTGTTTATTGGCGGCCAAGCTGTAGATCCTGGCTACACAGGAGTTGCAGCAGCGGTAGGAACGAGTTTTTTTTTAAGGGACGCGCGCTGGTGGGAATAGTCCCGTACTCATATTAGTGAGCCAAGAGATAAAGAGAGAGAGAGAACATCGTGTGTACTAAGTATTTTGATACATATCTAAAACTTGTAGCAATTAAATCTGAAATGTTGCATTACAGACGAATGCTCCAAGTGAAGAAGCACCTTTATCTTCAGCGAACAATCAAATAAATGGATGTAGTCACGTAGGATTTGCGTCGTTGGAGAATAGGTCATAAACCGTTTTGACATTGTAGAAGTTTTATTCAGGGGTCAAATGGGACTCCCCTGGGCATTAGCTTGACACCGGTTGGCACACGCAAAGCGAATTTGTAAATACTTAAATACTAACAACGTAACTGGAGAGTGGAGGTCAAATTTTCCATTTATCTCTGGTAAATTAGAGAACAGCGTGGAACATCCACCCACAAGGTGGATCGACATCATAAAGGTAGCAGGAAGGCGCTGGACGCAGGCCGCTACCAATCGATCAACATGGAAATCATTGGGTGAGGCCTATGTTCAGCAGTGGACGTTCTATAGCTGAAATGATGATGATGATGATGAAATTAGCGAACACTCCTAATAGGGGACACAAAGTGACCTGATGATGATGATACAGGGTGGAAACGATTAATGATCTCACTAGATTATTTCTAAACTATACTAGTTATCTATGAATCCAGTTCTCTTTCTTTCAAAAATAAAGGAATGTTTTCTTTGAGTAAAATTTTCTATCTACAGTATTAAGAGTACTTTCCCTTCAGGTGGCATTACAACATTCCACTCTGAATACGATCTTATTCAAACGCTTTCTCATTATTTAAACACGTGTCCTTGCGGGGTTTGGAACCGCAACCGCTGGCTCTTTACTTGTGAGTTGTAACCACCAAACCAGCGTTCAAAGCTCAGTAATTAGCTGTACAGGACATGGATTTATTCGCAACTAGCTTTCCGCCCGCGGCTTCACCCGCGTGGAATTTTTCGGTTTTTTAATATAACCTACGCCTTTCAGCAATCTATTGGTGAAAGAATTTTTAAAATCGGTTCAGTAGATCCCGAGATTACCCCTTACAATTTTACAAATATACAAACACACAAACTTTATATCTTTGTATTATTAGTACCTATAGATAACGCGAAATTCTGTATTTTGTGAAGTTAGCGTAAATATTTTCATAAATGAAGGACGATTTATTACCTGTTTAAAGGACAATGACCAAAAGTGGTCCAAATGTCCACCACTAATGAGACCTATATTGGCTTATAGTCCATTAAATAGAGATTAACTTTCAGTATGGGACGAAAAAAAAATAAGTTGTCAGTAAAAAGTTATGACCGTATGAAAAATTGTAGTAGTTTACGCGCTAATCTCAAGAACTACTGGTCCGATTTGAAAAAATATTTTTGTTATGGATAGCCCATTTATCAAGGATGGTTTTAGGTTATATAACATCACCCTACAACCAATAGGGGCGGAGCAGCGGCCACCCGACCATAATTCCAATATTGTTGTCTTTCTTCTGAGCTTATTTTTTTTCTTCTAGCGAATATCTAACACGGCACACTAAGCGACATGACATAATATGCATAGATTAATCCAAAATGTGCGATGGATAGAATGATATCAAGAACATTTTTCGGATGAAAAGGTAAAAAACATGACTTTTCATTCAGTCATAACTTTTTACTGACAGCATATTTTTGATTGCGGTTTGGTTATAATGAATCAGTATTTAGTAGACTATTTTACTACATAGGTCTCGTTAGTGGTGGACATTTGGACCACACTCCATACATTTTTGGTCATTGTCCTTTAAAATATTGCTTAATTCTTAGTAGTTTAGGAAACAATACACGAAAGAGCATAAGTATTAAGTATAATAATAAGACAATACCTTGTTATTCGAAGCACATACATTTTTATTACGTCTACGATACTAAAGATAACGTAAAATCGATAGCAATGCCATCCAATGTGTATGAAAGGTTCTACGATTATGAGTACCTTAAGTTTTAATATGGAGTACTTAGGTATAAATGCTTCTAAAATAACCCAAGCACCATAAGTTGTCAGATAAAAGACAGTGACAAAGTGTTTATTTATTTATGGTAGAACACTTTATTGTTCATAGTAATTTTCCATTTTTATCATACGCGGTTTACAATTTACTTTATGTTATGGTGACGTAACACTACTGCAGTCATTTAGATACAAATAACTATAAATTAATAAATAAATAAATAAATAAATATCCTTGGACATTTTACACTGAGCTTCTAGTCCCAAACTAAGCAAAGCTTGTACTATGGGTACTAGACAACGGATATAAACATACTTAAATACTTTTTTTTTGTAAATACATACATATTATACATAGAAAACACCCAGTCCAATACAAACAAATATGTTCATGCACACAAATATTTGTACTGTGCGGGAATCGAACCCGCAACCTCCGGAATAGTAGTCCGTTTCGAACCACTACACCAAATGGCCGAATTAAAGTAGTACCTAATAAACAACAATCATTTTGTTCACAAGTAATGAATTTTCTTCGCGTCTACATGATAACGTTTCTCTCAGGCTCAGATTCAGTAAAGTCCCCTGAGTAGGAGCCATTTTGGTACAATAAACTACACTCGGCATCAAATAAATCGCACCTCCCGCGACAAGCACTTATCAAACGTATACATCCCCACAGTCACTTCCTACCAACATTGGTACCATTTGAAAGCCTAGTTCTAAACTTCATTTAATTAAAGGAAAGGTTTTTACCCCAAAAATGTGTCTTTACAAGGATCCAGAGTCACTTCTTCAAAAAATAGGTAGTTACGCTATAGCCATTTTTATGACTATAAAACTGTTAAGTTGGGATTAATCGCTATCCATCTTTTAAAGAGGACACGTGAAATCTTTATTTGGTTTTATAACCATAAAAATGGTCTAATTGATCCCAGAGGTGAGCCCAAAGTGAGGTCTATTTTCAAGTCACATTTATGGTATATGTTAATCATTTATTTAGAAATGAAATGTATTTTTCTTTAAGGATATTTATTGGGCTTTCAAATAACACCAATATTGTTGGGGTACCATGTGTCAGAAGAAAATCTTTAAAGTTCGCGTCGCGGAAGGTGCGGTTTATTTGATGTTGAGTGTATTATGTTTGTTGAACTAAATAAACAATATTTCGTTCAAACAAAAAAAAATCTGAGATGCAACTCTATCAACGCTCAAAATAAATTTTAATTATCTGTTAAGGTCACTTACCTTTTATAAACACAGACGCCTCCGCCTCCACCTCCGGGAAGCCCTCTATACTAGCTTTGCACACGTATCTGCCTGCAGTGTGTGTGTCCACGCTTAGGGTCAGGTTGGGAGTCTTGCCGACGCGCTGCAAAGAAAAAATATGTTAGAAAAGGTGTAATAATTTTAAAGAAATTACGATATTTTACCTAATAAGGCCTCAATTCATGTGTTTTGCACATAATATAGCCACAATCGACAGTGTCAAGTAAATAATATGTTTTGAAGTAAATATTTCCTCATTATTATTTTCGTACGTATAACAAATGACTATAAAAACATCTTAGCGTATAAACTCATGGGATAGGAAGAGAATTTAGTGGTGAACTGAAGTAAATAACCTTTCTATTGAGTTTTAGTGAAGATTGAGTCACTTTACAAAGACTTCACGCGGACTTTTTTTCAATTATTTGAAGTGTTATTGCACTGTTTTGTTTCATTTGCTTACACTCGTGCATGTTCACGAATATTTCATTGTAAAATAATGCCACTTAATTTCTCTACGGTTAATTATGTCTGTATCGATGAACCTTCGTGATCATCACTTTCCATCAGGTTAGATGCAGGCCAAGAACTTCTTCGTCGTGAATATTAAAAAAAAAAAATTCACAACAGCTACTTTAGAAAAAACAAACAAAAAAACAAAACTACAAAACATGGCGCTTCACTTTCCCGCCAAGAAGCCAAATGACAATCACTCACAAACATAAACCTTGGGTAATTCTAATTACGGATGTAAATTTAGAACTTTGTTTGAATTCATTGCGTAAACGTTTCTAAAGTTAATCAACTTTTATATTCCAAGTTCTTGATTCCTACATTTACCTTTTCAAGTTAAAACATTACTAAAGCTTCTGGACCTTTGCTTTGTTGTCTATTTTTAATTCTCTTTAGGGCCTTATCAAGATTTCCCTTTACGAATCATTTTATGGCGGCATTAGGTTTTTGTCTTTTGCCAAAGCTGTCAGAACTTGCTTATAAAACTCTTTGAAGTTGTTGTACAATTGTGAAAGTTAACGTTATGTAAACCCTTTTACGTACTGGATTATCGCGTCAAATGGATTTAGCCCATTTTAGGGCTAGGTACCTATATAAATAAACGTAATTAATGTGTCTGTTTGTAATGTCAAAAAGCTTTTTACTTAATGTCTAAATATGTCAAATACCTATAACATAAACGAATTGTATGTAATTGACTGCCTGTAAACAAAGAAACATAATTAATGAATCGATTTCATAGTCACTTCAATAAACTAACACCATGAAAGTTCAAATTATTGTTGATGTTTCTTAGTGGAAATAATAAGAAGCCGTTATAAAAGTTAAATTCATCATGATCATCATTGTAATGAGGCCTATCTTATTCGCGCTCAAAAGTTATATTGAAGACAAGATACTAAAATTATTTTAATGATACGCAAACTCAAAGAATGGCTGACATTGCTATACCTCGTTAATGAGCTGTTTAACGACCATTTTGCATGCTGATAACTTTAAATAGAATACTGCTGCGTTTATTTATAAATTTTATAAAATAATCTTCGAATCCATTGAATCACAAATAATAATCAACATTTTAGCCAACCGAGTAATGAATCAAACAAACCATTTATAAAAATCATAAGTCACAGATTATGTAAAAGTAAAAATGTGTCAAAGAAAAACAAACGAGAATCACCCATCGGAAAAAAATAAATATTCCATTTTGAACTTCGAACGCCGAAGACGGAGAACAAATGAACATCTCTCTTAAAATCATGCAGCGGATTAATCACTCGACAAGTGGGGCGACTAATCGCATTCCTGCGTCCGCTCTAGTGTTGTGATCGTCTAGGTTTATCGATATTAAAGGCAATTAAATAGTAAAGGTAAAGAGACACAGATGTATGCTCATTACTACTAGCAGGAAATGTGCCACTATCTTATCTTACTAATATTATAAATGCGAAAGTTTGTATGGATGTCTGGATGTTTGTTACTCTTTCACGTAAAAACTACTGAACGGATTTTGATAAAACTTTACAGTATTATTGTTTATAACCTAGAATAACATAAAGAGGCTATAATTTATGACGATCCGTGACAAAGTAAATTTCACGCGTGAGAAGCCCTAAAGCCTAATCGAAAGCTAGTAGAGTAATAAAATTGTAAATTTTAGTGGCATGTGTGTCGAAAATTGGCTGATAACTAATGCATTCTAATTTTCCGAATTGTTCGAGCACGATTGTTTTAAGCATAACACTTTTGTGAGCATAATAATGTAAGTAACTGTATCTTAGTATTGAAAGTATCGTCATGTGCATAGTATTGAATTCCATAGGGCATTTTGGGCGTTTACCTGTATACTAACGCCCGTATGACAAACGATGCTTATTATGTGAAGCAGCAAATCGAACGCACAGCGTTGAATAAAAATCTGCGATTGGTTCGTGTGTCACCCTGTGCGTCCACGTGCGCTGTGAGACCTCATAGTATTGTTTGTGAGTAGGTACGGGTGTAAATATCGATATTTCGAGGTCAATGGTTCCGCAGCACTACCGCCCTAATCCGTGTAAACGAATAGCAAATTAAATGGGATTATTTTAGCGTTTCGCGCCATTTTCGTTTGCGTTTTGTTCTCCAGTCGACGTGTCATTGTCTCTGGTTTAATTACATTACCGACTTCAAGGTGAGCGTTGGAGTCTTTATGCGTTTTGGAGGGATGAAATAAAATTAAACTTCGTCAAAACTGGCAGATGAATTTGCTCACCTTTTGTGGTGTTAGCACGTTTTGTAAAAACTTATTACTTGAACAAAAAAAAGTAGTAAATTCAAATAAAATTCCAACTTCAAGCTTTACCTACAATGACTTTATGAGGTTGGTAATAGGGACGATATTGCAACAACAATGTATAGCTGAAGCCTGTAAATACAAGCTCTATAAACAAGCGCTTTTAAGTATCTATTATACTAATTATAACGAAGAAAGATTTCATTGTTTGTTTGCATTGAATAGGCTACGAAACACCTGAACCGATTTAAAAAAATTCACACCATTGGAATCCTATATTATTTCTGACGCACAAAGGCGGTACGAAGTTCGCTGGGACAGCTATTAATTTTAATAAAACAGTTCTGAAATAAAATCCACTGCATTGTTTCTGTTTATTATTAACCTATACAAATTGCATCGTATCTCTTTACTCATCCATCTGAATTGAATCGATTCTATTAACGCAGAATATTCAAATCGATTACTTAATCATTGTTTTATACAATAAATCGATAAAGCACTCGAAAATAATCGTTGTAATCGTACCAATTTGGTGAAGCCACTCGAATACCTCATATCGATTGTGACAAAAGCCCGTATTGAAAATAAATAATTCAGCAGTGGACAAACTACCCCCGCTTCTTTATTCAAGGGGTCCTACTATTGAATCTCGTAGACTATGGATTTTAAGAGGGTTCGATTCCGTTCATTAATTTTTTACGAGTGGTTAAACTTCAGTAAATAATAAAAATCAACTTCATGAATTAGAATGGACAATAAGGTATTCGAACTCGATTCGGAATTGTGACTCTTTCGATCCAATTCCCTGACAGATGCAATTTTGCGATCGCTTCACATAGCCATAGTTAAACTACCCTATGTCCTTTCCCGGGTTTCAAACTACATATCTCTATGCCAAATTTCATCAAAATCGGTTCAGTGGTTTAGGCGTGAATTAAAGCAAGACAGACAGACAGAGTTACTTTCGCATTTATATTATTAGTATAGTTTTAACAATAGGTACAGTCGAGTCCATAAATATATTGGCAGCGCCAATATTTCAAAATATAGTAGTACAGTAGTGCAGTCAACACTGCGTTACTGCAACATGTTTATGAACATTTTATAATTATATTTATTTATGTTTAAGTTTGTACTCAATAACCATATTTTGCAACATTAGCGCTGCAATATATCGTCACCGTCGTGGCAGAATTAAATAACTGACACTTTTGGCGAAAACCACTTTTTCCACTTTTTGTATAGTAGAAAGTGTTACCTATATTTTGGTCTTACTCTCGTGGCAATATCTATGATATTTACAAAGATATCTTCAGTTTAGTGAAACTGTTGACCATAAATTACAACTCTGTTTGTTGTAGAATTTACGTGGCAAAACTGAATAAGTGACTTTATTTAATTCTGCCACAACTCACTGCAAAACATTGCATCAAAATACTTGTACTAAGAAAGTCAATAAGTGACTTTATTTAATTCTGCCACAACTCAATCCGAAACATTGCTTCAAAATACTCGTACAATTGTGTTTTTGATTTACTTCATTTTTTTATTTTACTTTAAATGTTACTTTTAATTTTAATGTTCATTACTCAGATGTTGAATCTGGATAGTTAATTTCATCATCATCATCATTTCAGCCACATAGGACGTCCACAGTCACTGCCGAACATAGGCCTCCCCCAATGATTTCCAATATGACCGGCTGGTAGCGGTCTGCATCCAGTGCTTTCCTGCTACCTTTATGAAGTCCACGTTGTGNGGCGGAGATATTGCGTATAAAAAAGTTCATCCCCAATTTTCCACCCTTGGGGGTTGTTTTTTCTATTATTAAATTTAAATGGGACCACCCTTGAAGCATTACCTATACGACAAAAAAAGATTTTTTCAAATCGGTTCATAATTGGCGGAGTTATCGCGTAAAAAACATAAAAAAAAAAAAAAAAAAAAAACATACGGGTCGAATTGAGAACCTCCTCCTTTTTTGAAGTCGGTTGAAAAGAACAAAGTTTGTGTCAGTTTTTTATTGACTGTAAGTAAAACTTTTCTAGACCAAATCGTGTCTAGTATTTACTTAGTCATGTGGTTTTAAGCATTAAATTAAAAGGTGACAACAGACAGACAGTTATTTTCGATATTTCTATTTTGATTTTTATATGTTACTAGCTTTTGCCCGCGGCTTCACCCGCATGAAATTTCGTTTGTCACAGATCGTCATAAATAATAGCCTATACATTATTCTGGATAAACAATAATACTGTAAAGTTTCATCAAAATCCGTTCAGTAGTATATGCGTGAAAGAGTAACAAACATCCAGACATCCAAACTTTCGCATTTATAATATTAGTAGGAAGATACTTTTAAGACAATATCAACAGAATAAAGACTTTATTCCACTTAAATGAATGATTTATAAAGTGTGATTGAATTGTGCACTATAAAAGATTGATTTCTGGCAATAAAGAACATTTATTGTTATGTTTCCCCCACGGGAAATCACAGCAGGAGGGCAGTACTTTTGGGTTGCTATTTTTGTAATATTTGTCGGCCATTTTAGTTATACCACTTCATAATCAAGTGAGATTTTGTTTTTAACTAGTACGTCACAAAACAAATTTTCAGCCAAAGCAGTCATTGTTTCAACTATAAGACGTCCACTGTTGGATAAAGACCTCCCCCAATGATTTCCACAATGACTCGTCCTACGCTGCCCGCATTCAGGTGCTTCCCGAGACCCTCACTAGACCGTCGGTCCACTGAGTCTGAGGCTATCCTACATTATGTCTTCCAGTCCAGAATTCCAGTGTCACTACATGAGAACTACCTAACTACCATCAGTTCTACGAGCTATGTGTTCCACCTACTTCTATAATGTCGGACTCCTCCTATGTTCTTCTGAATAATTTCGTTGCGGGGCTAATGACAGTGCAACTTTCTTCCAGGAAAAACTTGGCGGTCACGGTCACTGGTTGGGATTATATCGGCGGTAAAACTGTAGATCCTGGCTACACAGGAGTTGCAGTAATGGAAACGGGAGGTTGAAATAGTCCCAACCACCATCTAAGTTTGACAATTCCGCGGGCTATGTCGGTTATCTTAGTAATCCCATAGCTAGCTAAAACAGTACTTACAATCATCTGGTCTTCTTCATGATGGAGCCAGTTGATCTCAGGAGTGGGGTGTCCATCCACGTCACAGCTGAGAGTAATGGGGGTGCCTATTTCTGCTTCCACGTCCCTCGGCCTGTTTCGGAATGATGGTGCATCTGTTGGAAAAAGGAGTAAGTTATAAAAAAGTTTCAACATTATTCCGTGGGCTTAGTGTGAGTTTACATCAAACGTTTGTTATCGTCTGCGTAAAAAACGACATTAAAATATGACGTATTTACAGCGCTTCTAGCCAGTTCTAGCGGATACTTTTAAGAACTAAAATCTTCATAGATTTTTTTAACGCACTCGATATCGAATACGTGTGAATATGTAAACTCACACTACGCCCCCTGAAGCCCCTGATTCTAAATGGGATGCCCAAATTGAAAAAGTACTTTAGTATGTAAAAAAATATCAAGAACATTCTAGATTACAATTGATTTGTCTATTAAAATACTTTGGAATGACAACCAATATAAAGGTGCCTTTCAGAGCCATAATGGACAGCAATGGAGTTTCATGGAGGACATAATAATAAGTAGTTTTATGTGACAAAAACAGCTGTTAATTCAACATTTACACCATGAACCTCTATAAACCTGTAGTTAAAATAATTGGGTATTTGCCACCACTCCCCAATAAATTTTTTTAAAAAGGCACTTCATTCTGGTCTTAAATTACCTGTAAATCAAGATTTTCGGTTGCATTGTAATTGAAAAAAGTAGTTTAATTGACTTGACAAAATTGTGACGTCACTGGCTAGTATTGCCATCCAAAATCTATGGGAGTCTCATTTGACAGTTTTAAAAAGTACGTCAATTGATTGGTGGTGGCAAATACCCTATTCTCCAAAAATATTTCAACATTTTTCATACAAAGTATAACCACACTAAAATATTTTTGATAATGCACTATAACAATGAATAATGTATCATCATCATCGTCATTTCAGCTATAGGACGTCCACTGCTGAACATAGGCCTCCAATGATCTCCATAATGACCGATTAACGGCCTGTATCCAGCGCCTTTATGAGGTCGTCGGTCCATCTCGACTGTAAATCTACATACTTACATGTAATCTCTAACGTTTCAGACTCCTCAGTTTTCCCCACATCGTTGAAAACTTGGCATTTTACTATGGCGTCGCTGTATTTTCTTGTAATATTGTAGATTTTCTGGAACAAAATAACATCATTTATTCAAGGCATCACTACATGAGCCTACAATTTAGGTACTAGATGAAGATGAACTTGAGATGTGTTGTAGTAATATGAGAAAACATCTTTACGCATAAAACAGTTTTCTACTGAAAATTTTTCATATTTAAATTAATAATAATATGTATATTGAAATAATCTGAGCTGTTTATTATTTGAATGCAATAATGTAACATGTTTTTAAAAAAAGCATTCAAGACCGAAGAGGTAATTTAATTTTACTTACAGCAGTTTGTCTGTATATTTTCACTATCAATTTTTAAATGATGGGTCACTTAAAAATAAGGGATTGATGGTGAAAACGGGCATTAGCTATTTGTACCACATAAACAATTATAATACATGTACAAAACGTACACTATGTTCGCTACTATGAAATAGTTTTCCTTTCTTAACAACTCGATTGTTGAATAATACATTTTCAACAAACATATATTCTTAGCATATATTATAGCTCAGTATTCGAATTTGTAGAATTCGAATTTCGACGAAATATTAGTTGTCCAAGGTTGAATTGAACTCGTTTCAGTGTATAAGCACTAATTATTATCAAAATACCACCATTATTTCCTATTTGGCTTTCGCGAATATTTCATAGTAAAGGAAACCTATGTTTCCAATTAAGTCTGTCCCAGGTAAAGACAGACACATGTTATAGCACATAGCAATAGTTATGGCAGTCTACAAACTTAAAATTAAGTATTATTATAATGGTTTTCTTGTCACATTTCAACATAAAACTCTTAGGCTGGGTTGCACCATCTTGTCTTAACATAAATAATAAAAAAAGTTCATACAAAAACATCGGTTAAAGTTATAGTTACCGTTAAAGTTAAGGTGGTGCAACAAAGGCTAAATAATGTCTCGCTTTTTCTCAATACTGATTAAGTTTTTTATTGAAGATCCAACATTGTTATTATTGTTATTACTTATATCAACTGTACACTAAAAGTAGCTACTTTTTATGTACACATTGTATGTTATCATTATAATACTTTCTATATAAAAAGAAAACCATTTTCCATGCAAGTGTCAGTAATTATTTTTATCTGTATCTCTCCTAAGGATAGTCATATTAGTCATAGCGTAAAGACTTTCCTTTTGAAAGGCGTTAGGGGATACAAATCCAAAACGAAGCGGACCCTTTGAGATACGACAACATATTGGGATTATTATCTCCGCTAGTCTGCGTCAGGCCTAAGCCCAATCAATTGCTATCAGTATATTGGATGCAAACACATTGACGGTCGTCGGTCAGTCGGCTTCCCTTTCTGAATTAATATCACTCAGGCGTAGGCACACGCTTCGGTGGCTGGACATAACATGTCGAAATATCGGTAAGCTGTCGGTGCTGAAGGTCATGTTTGATGAGCATGATGACATAATGCTGGTAGAGATAGGTGACCGTATAACGTGCCGAATAACGCCTAATCGATAAAACTGTTCATCGAAGCCACAATAATTCATCGATTAACGTAAGCACGAAAAATATAAAGGTTGTAATTACACTAGACCGATATCTTAGTTGGCCGACTGCACGTTTCCCCTTGTATGCTCACACGATTGCAACACGATTTTGACATAAGCCTGAATAATACTGAATATTAGTCATTGTCTACCCTAAAAAAATTGTTAAATATTTTTATGAACTTTCTGGTACTTACAATTTCAGTCGTATTTCCAACGATGGCGTCGTCGTTCAGATACCACTTGAAGGTGAGGTTGGATGGGTTGGCGTCGGCTCTGCATGCTGAAAAAACAAAACTAATTAAAACTGCTTTTCAGTTATCGCTAAAATAATATTTTTTTTGCCTATATTTCTTAGACTGGGTTCTGGTGCTCACTAAGAACCGATTTTACGAAACTCCACCCCTAAGGGGGTAAAACGGGATCTACGCGTACGAAGTCGCGGGCGGCCGCTATTATGGTAATAAAATAAACTTAGTGGCACTTTGATTAAACAGTGCCTTTTCAAATACAAAATCAAATCTTACCAATAGTGACGTCGCTGCCTTCAGGAATTTTTCCGTTCTTTTTGTTCTTTATGAATATTTTCACCTTCGGCGCGTATTTGACCTGTTGACAAACATGACAAATTTATTTCATTGAATTCCTTGGGAAAATAAAGTACGGAAATTTATTGGACATTTATTGGGAAATTATACTACGGATATTTTCCAGGTGTTATTTTCGGTGTGAAAGTTCTTTGTGAATGTCACGATATTCATAATATTTTCACCTGTTCTTTGCTTAAATTATTTTTGGGTATTTTATTCTTCAGTTTTTTTCCTGCTGTAATAAGCCGACAACGGATGTCATTTACATTCACAAAATATAAACTGTATAACCTAAAGATGTCCACTGCTGGACTCTGCCTCCCCCAAGGATTTCCACAACGACCGCATTCTTCTCATGATACAGGAGGCTTGTCTACACTAAGTTTAGATCATAACATTAGAGTCCTTGTTCTAAAATAAAATTCATAAAATTCATTTATTTTTGCAAATAGGCTTTTAAAAAGCGCTTTTACACGTCCCAATATTAACCCTACCACTGCTTCGGGACAATAAACGGGCCAGTGCTGAGAAGAAGCAGCGCAAGATTAACTCAGTCACTATTGTCGGCCTCCTTTTCAAGGTTTTACAGTCTTTAACATATACAAATTATAGTCATAAGATTGATGCGAGCTAGGTAGTTAAACATTCCAAACATTTTTATCTTTTATAATCATCAACTTTATAGTAGCCCTTTATCATTAAGGTGATTTTGATATGTGCTTTAAATTTATGAATGGGCAATTCTACAACAGTTTGTGGTAATTTATTGAAAAGTTTAAAACATTTCCCCATTAATGAATTACCAATATTGTGCAGTCTGAAATTTGGAACGGCAAGTTTATTTCTATGTTTATGTTTCTATGTTTCAAATATCAATTTTTAATACGAAACGAACCTTCGGGACAGCGCAAATGTAGTAATTGACTTTTCGAATACGGTACATCAAAGCCAAAAAAAACAATTTTACAAAAATCAGTCAAAAGTGGTTTTGACTGGTTATGAGTTTTGATATAATAGGTAAAGTACAAGACACAATTTACGCCTTTAAAATGCTGTAAGCCTAACACTACATAAAAATAACACGGAAAAGTCCTCACATAACGCATATGTTTGAAACCCCCTTATTCCCAGTTGCATAGAATTTACATTTATTTGTTTTCGTCCTATAAAAGCCCGGACATGACCGAATGGATTTATTCGCTTTTTAATAATAGACTCCTAAACAAGCGCGACTATAAACGAAATTCATGGCTTTGCTAGTGCACGACTAAAAAAATTGGAAAGTGTGGGATGAAATTGCAAACGGGGTTCTGTTCTGTTAAAAAAGGGTGGGTTTTCTGGGACCCATATAGTTGCAAAATCTGGGCACGGATACCGAGGTTTGTAAAAGCTCCAAAGATCTATTTATTATTATTTTAAGGCAGCAATCTTTAAAGACTTTTAGATACTGGAAAGGCTGTTGTCATCATTCATCATCATTTTAGCCACAGGCAGGATGTCCACTGCTGAACATAGGCCTCCCCAATGATTTCATGATCATAGCGGGGGCGTTGCCATTACTGGTCACCAACGTGATTTAAAGAGATACCAATAAATGCGCTGAGTTCGAAATTCAGTGTCGCTCATGAAATTCACGCACACGAAGTAATCAAAATATTATGTGCTCATTATCCACTGCGCTATCAGTACTCAACGTTCGAATAATCTTTAGTACTACGCAAGCAATGTAAACTGTTTACATTATGACGTCGCTGTAGTCATCATTGCATACACGAGAAATGTGTTCTATTTTTGGGCATATTGATGCGACACCGGCCACGCCCCTTTGGCACATCTTCCTTTAGTTTCTCTTGGCTAGGTAGGCTGTACAATGAACTGAAGTAACTTCTTTTAACTTATTAATTGTAACTCTTTTTATTTATGAGGACTTATAAAACATTGTAATAATTTGTGATTTGGAGTTATTTTGTATAACCAATGCTAGCAAACAAGTTGTCTAATAGACTACTTAAGTAAAAGCTCTAATCTACCTACGAAACCTCTTTATTATTGGAAAATGTTCGTACTACATTATGTACACGCTAGCATGTGTTTTATAGTGGCGCATCTCTAAATAACGCTATAAATAAAGCTGAAACGGTGTGGGAACTGCAAAAACCCGTAAACTCCACGAATAATAGATGAGAGACAGTTTCAAAAACTGCTTTTTAATAGCCTGCTATTTTTTGTAATCCATCCCCTATACCAGGAGTGGGTTACAAAATGTTTCATCTAAATGAAACTGTATTTTCTGTAAAGAACTCGGATTCGAACGTGAATAATGTCCAGTTTTTGTTTTACGTTCGAAATTTGAATTGAAATAATATTTAAAACAGATGAAAACAAAAACATTCGTATTGGGTTTAGATGTAAAATAATAAAACCTTTTAAGCTTCAAGTTCAACTTTTTTTTCTTTTACTCCTCAAATATTGGCCAGTGTTACATACTCCTTGAAATACAAAGCGATGTGCGATGTTTTTTCATATTTTGAATTTAGAATACTTTCTGATCTTATATTTTTAGCGATTTAGTCGCTTTTTTTAGAAGCTGAATGTAACGACCACACATTCCACACCGCACACTTAAAAATGCCAAACGCGATGATTGAGTCGCTTCTCGGAAACTGGACGCAACGACAGCAGCCAAAACGCGCGATTCCGATACCATATCAAAACACATGAAGTTGCGAAATCGCGATACTGTATCAAAAGTCGCTAAAACTCGCGATTCCGGTACCGCGTCCGAAGATCCGAACGCATTTTTTTATGCATAACAAGGCAGGTATTTGACCACAATCGCACCCTCAGANATTGGACATTTAATTTTGTTATACACTTTTTTTTTACTAAAAGAATGAAACGTAACGCATTGATCTGTCAAACGGAGACATTCAAAAGTGAGGTTATTTATTGCTCTGTGTACCAAAACAATGTAATTAATTTTAATAGAAGTTAATCAAAATTCAGTGAATCACTAACAATGACACAATCAAGTGACAAAGGAAATACTGTACACTTTGTAATATGTGACCTTACGGTCAGTTGGAATGTTTGTTTGTGGAAATCGGTAAGTATTTCTCGCCAAAAAAAAAGTGTTACAGTACCCCTTCACCCACCAGAATTTTACGAGGATAACGAGAAAAATTCACGCTGGCCCTCCAGCATCAACCTATCTTACAGAAACAGAACCTCAACAATACACAACAACAAAAAAGCTAACACCTCAACAAACTTCAATCTACCCTACAATTTTTTTAAATCTCGGAGCTACACTACGAACATGCGTACTCCGCCAAACAACATCATCCTTTTTAACCACTACGTCTCTCAGACGTCTATTACAACATTCATCTCTCAAGTGAGATTTCCTCAATTGCCTATCTTCAAACACCTTCCGTCGAGACCTGGGCAGTGGACCAACAAAACCAACGCTGACACACTGGAAGGGTCTACGACGAACCTTCGGTTTTCCAAACAAACCAGGAGTGGTTTGATTCGGATGTTTGAAATCCTTACCAACATCACCAGTCAACCTCTGAGACATCACTGCTTCAGCATGTTTTTTAGAAACAACCGAAACTTCCCGATTCACAAGTCGCAAAACATCAGGCGCGATCTGAAAAGCTTTCCAGAAGTTGATGCCAAACAACAAAGACGACGAAACTCCAGGAACAACATAAAACTTTATAACCTTTAGCACATCATCAACCACAACAGGTAAAAACATGTATCCCACAGCAGACGAAGTCGAACCATTCGCCGCTACCACAGCATCCGTATCCGATTTATACAACTCACCCAGATGAGAAAAATAATTCACAGCAGAACCACCAACAATAGAAACTTCCGCTCCAGAATCCAACAATCCAGAACACGGAACACCACCAATCTTAACATTTAAATAGGGACGCGCATCCTGGCAATCATCTGGTCGGACCGTCGCAACATTAGCTTTGCAATTTTTTGAGAATACACGCACAAAATCACACCAAGCACGCCACTCTTCAACAGGTGTAACATCAAAACGACGGTCCGTCGCCACGCGTTTTGTGACTCCAGAAACTTTGACGTCCTTCTGGCGTACACACTTCGGACAATTGACAGCGGTCACGCCCTTCTCACCACAACGATTGCAAATAATTACACGAGGCGCATTGCAATCACGGAGCGTGTGGTCCTTCACACGGCAACGCACGCAAAACTTGTCCATGCTCGGACTTTTAACCACAGCCTCACACTTCGGACGAGCAGACTTACTTTTGTAGGCCAGGTCAGGGGCGACAGCATTCTGTACACCGCGCGGGGGTTCGGTGAAGGATTCTGCCCTCTGTCTCGCCGCTTCTAACTGCCTACAATGCCTCTTCAAGTCGGCCCACGATTTTATTTCTACGTTGACCAAAGGAATGGAGTAAGATGGCCTAATGTTGAACCCATGACTTTTCATACAAACTTTGTCAGTCTATAACTTCTATACTCCATCGATAACGACATTGAGCTTTGGTTGGGGTAAATTAATATAAGGTAACTTCATTTAGTCCCAATAATTGATTCTGAGTTTTTCGTCCATACAAAATGGAACTGACTCCTTTATGCAAAAATTCGTTAAAGAACATAATAATAACGTATAATAATAAAAAGGTTTTCATTCAAGCATTTTTTAAACCAATTTCGAGCCTTGCCCCCAGGATTTAAAGTATCGATATCTTATCGACTCCATTTTATCTTTCTTCTCTCTAATTGCTTTTTTCAAAGTGTGCGTCACGTCACGCGGCCATTGATTGGCCATAAGGCACGCCTTCTGGCCAATCACAGCACTTTTAAGCCGGTTGCACATGTTGTCGTAGACTCTCAGTCGCTTTGTTTTTACACAGTTGAATGTGTGTGTGGGAGCTGTGGTGGGGGAAATGTGGGGACACTGGTTCTCGTTGTAGTTACGCGCGACTTCATATCTATTCTCTTTCTATGATCTGAGATCGCACC